TGTAGAGATGAGGTCTCACCAAGTTGCCCAAGCAGGTCTCGAACCCGTGGGCTCAGGCAATCCACTCACCTCAGCCTCTCAAAGCATGGGATTATAGGCTAAGCCACCGAGCCTGGCTCTTTAGCTGCTCTTAGACATACTTTGCTTGATGAGTTCAGACATTGTAGAAAGAGAAGCTTTAATTCGGGGATTGCAGCCCTCAGGAGGCCCAGCAGGTAACTTAGGGCTGTGTCAAGGAGATACAACCTTGCTGTTCTGCTGAGTGTCTAGTGGTCTACGAGCATTAACACATTCTAGAAACTTGGATATTTAAAATGTATATACACATACATAACTTTTAAAAAACTGTGTGGGTATCATATTAGGCCATGTTAGTAGGCAAAATTCAGCCCTTGGGCTGCCAAAGTTACCTTTGGCATCAATAAGGAGAGAGCCATCAACAAAAATATGAGAAGGAATGCTCAAGTTTGTTTGTTTGTTTGTTTTGAGACAGGGTCTCCTTCTGTCACCCAGGATGGAATGCAATGGTGAATTATAGCTTACTGCAGCCTTGAACTCCTGGGTTCAAGTGATACCCCCGAGTAACTAGGACTACAGGTGTGCACTGCCATGCCTGGTTTATATATATATATATATATAATTCTCTTTTTTTCTTTTTTTTAGAGATGGAGTCTCGCAAAGTAGCCCAGGCTGGTCTTGAACTCCTGGGCTCAAGCAATCCTCCCACTTTGGGCTCCCAAAGCGCTGGATTATCACAGGGGAGAGCCACTGTATCTGGCCTATACTCATTTTAAAGTGAACTTAAACAGTTATATCTGCAGCTTGGGCAACAAAGCAACACCTCATCTCTACAAAAATATAAAAATTAGCTGGGCATGGTGGCACACACCTGTAGTTTCAGCTACTCAGGAAGCTGAAGCGGGAAGATCTTTTGAGTTCAGGAGTTTGAGGCTGCGGTGAGCCATGATCGTGCCACTGAACTCCAGCCTGGGTGACAAAGGGAGATCCCCACTCAAAAAAAAAAAAAGTTATACGCTAGTGTAAAAACCATTCAAGTTAGTGATTTGAAGGGATTTTATTTTTCAGAGCTTGTCTAAACTGGAAGAGACAGAAAAATCCATCTTGGAACAAAGATTAGATGAAAAACAAAGCCTTAGGAACAATGGTAAGCTGTCATCCCCACTCTCCAATACTTATGGTCAATCTGACTTACCCCAGATGCATTTCAACCTGCTATGGATGATTCAGTGTCACAACCATGACCCACAAGGGAGAAAGTTGGTTTTGAGGGTCATTTTCCTTTTTTGTAGCAACCAAAAGAACCTTGGAGATCACGAAGCCCAGTGGCCCCCCAGGAAATGGAATGGGACCCATTGACCACTAGTGAAATACCCTAGGTGCGCTGCAGCGTTATTGTGGGTGGGTCCCACATGGCATTAAACAGAACTGACTCACATCCTGTCTTGCACTCACTTTTAATGCTTCTGATTACAACAACCAAAAAAAAAAAAAAAAGTTTTGGATTGGGGTTTGTGTACCTTTAACACCTCTCATACCCTTGAAATTCTTCTTTAAAAAAAAATCAAAGATGTTATCATTGTGCTTATTTGTATTGGTTACCTTCTATTTGTGGCAAATGACAGTTGTTTTCCATTTACCAATTTTAAGTTTCCTTCAATTAATTAAGAAAAGACAATTGGTCCACTTAAACTATGAAGCCAGTAGAGGCCAAGAGGGAGGCAGAAAGAGTGTAACTCGTGGAAGCTGTTTTTGAATAAGTTTGGGAAACAACCCAGATTACAGGGGAGATGAGTGCATGGGAGAAGGAAGGACAGAGATGTCCAGTGACTAGGACAAAAGCCCAGGCCTCCTGATGCTCAGTCCCGTGAGCCCCAAGCACTAATCTCTGGGCCTGCCATGTTGCTGAGAGTCATGCCATTTTGTTCAACATTAATATGACTTAGACTAGTGGTTCTTAAACTTGCATGTATCACAATCACCTATAAGGCTTGCCTATGACTCAGGTGGCTGGATTTGGACTGACAGTGCTTCTCAGTGGAGTTGGCGGTGCCATGGTCCACTTGGTAGACAGTTCTCTGTCATGTGGGATGGACTGTTCAGCATTCCAAGGCCCCTGCCTACTAAATGCCCTCATCAGTGTGATAACCAAAACAATCTCCATATAGTTCCCCAATCCCAGGTTAAGAATTATAGTACATTTTTTGCTTACCTATACAGTAGTTAAACGTTTTCAAAGTAAGGCACTGATGATCCAATGTCTACCTCATTGTTGCCCATTATTTCTAGCATCTGCCTTGTTTTTCTCAAACTCCCTGCACCTGGAGGGTTCATCTTAACTGACATCTTGATCTTTCCTTCACTTTGTATCTTAAAGATAATTATTATTTTCATTTTCCAAATATGAAATTCTACTAACAAATGTACTTCTCCAAAGTATATCATCCTCCTGTCTAACTCCCTTCTTTTCCAACCCTCCCAGCCACTAGGAACACAACTCTCTTCTGAAAAAAAAAAAAAAAAATCACCATTTTATGTCATATCTATCTGAGTGCTTCCAGATTGTGAATTTTGAGATCATAGGTAAATGAGAGTGTGGAATTTAATGGAAAAGGCTTAGTCAATTTGACTTAGAGCTCCAGATCTTTAAATTGTCAATTGACTGGCCCCAGGCAACTTTTTCTTTTCTCTGAGTTTCAGTTTCTTCCCCTATAAAATAAAGGAGCTTTTGCCGGTTATGGTGGCTCATGCCTGTAATCCCAGCACTTTGGGAGGCCGAAGCAAGAGAATTGCTTGGGATCAGGAGTTCAAGACCAGCCTGGACAACACAGCGAGACCTCGTCTCTACAATAAATTTAAAAATTAGCTGGACATGGTGGCACATGCCTATAGTCCCAGTAACTTGGAAGGCTGAGGTGGAAGGATTGCCTGATCCCAGCAGGTCAAGGCTGCAGTAGCCGTGATTGTACTGCTTAACTCCATCCTGGGTGACAACATGACACTCCGACTCAATAAATAAATAATAAATGAATGAATAAATAAAATAGAGGAGCTTTTGATTGTTAACTGGAGTTGTTGCCCCTGAGTTAAATGCTGAGAACTTTCAGTGGTGTACAGGCTTTGAAGAGATGTTGGTTCCATGTTCCAGAAAATAAAATACGTGAAAGTAAAATGTTCATGAAGTAGCAAGTATGATAGATATTTTCATTTTAAGGCAGATAGGTCAGTGCGTTTGACTTCTTCTGGAAATTTTTGGGATTCTGATAGACCTCTGATACTGGAATCAGAGAGGATTTTTAAATATTTTAAAATTTGTTCTTTGAGTAAATTTAAAAATCTCACCAAGTTTTCTTGCACTATGGGAAGTTATAAATTTAGTCATTGCCAATGTGTAACATTTTAGAATGGGTTTCTTATAATTTATTGACATAATTGAATACAATTATATATGTATACATTATAATATAGGATAAATATATATGCTATAGTGCTTTGAAAACAGTAACATTAATTTGTTAGATCAATATTGCACTACTGGACTTCCTAAACAAAAACATTGTGCCTTTTATTCATTTATTTTTTGATTCAGGGTCTCTTTATTGCCCAGACTGGAGTGTAGTGGTATAATCACAGCTCACCACAGCTTCAACCTCCGGGACTCAGGCAATCCTTCTGCCTCAGCCTCCTGAGTAGCTGGGGTTACAGGTGCATGCCACCACACCTGCTAACTTCTTGGGTTTTTTGTTGCCTGGAATGATCTTGAATTCTGGGCTCAAGAAATCCTCCCTCCTCGGCCTCCCAAAGTGCTAGGATTGCAGGTGTGAGCCACCATGCCTGCCTAAACTGTGCTTTTTAAATAAAAGGTCTTGCAGGCTGGGCACGGTAGTTTAGGCCTGTAATCCCAGCACTTTGAGAGGCAGAGGCGAGAGGACTGCTTAAACCCAAGAGCTCAAGACTGGCCTGGGCGACATAGTGAGGTCTCATCGCTAAAAAAATTTAAAGATTAGTCAAGTGTGGTGGTGCAGGTCTGTAGCCCTCGGGAGGCTGAGGTGGAAGAATTGCTTGAGCCCAGATGCTCAAGGCTGTAGTGAGCCATGATCGTGCCACTGCATACCAGTCTGGGTAACAGAGTGAGACCCCAAGAAAAAAAAGTCTTGCAAATCAAGCAAAAACAGGAAAAGGCAGACAACCACAGCCTGTTGATGAAGTCTCTCTCTTATCTGCTTTCTTCTTCCCTTCTTCAGAATCCCAGCTCTCCTCCACCCCAGCCTTTGAGTCAGCAGACTCCAGAGAAGAAAGTCCAGCTTTCTGAGCACTGCCGGCTCTATTTTGGGGCTCTCTTCAAAGCCATCGGCGTATTTAGCAGCAGCCTCGGTAGCTGCCAGCCACCAGAGATTTTCATCACACAGAGCAAGCTGGTCATCATGGTGGGGCAGAAGCTGGTAGACACACTGTGCCAGGAGACCCAGGAGAGGGACGTGCGTAATGAGATCCTCCGTGGCAGCAGCCACCTCTGCAGCCTGCTTAAGGACCTGGCGCTGGCCACCAAGAACGCGGTGCTCGAATACCCGAGCCCTGCAGCCCTGGGGCAGCTCCAGGCTGAGGCCCAGCGGCTGGAGCAACACACGAGGCAGTTCAGAGGGACGTTGGGATGAGGACTCTCCACCTACCTCCTTCCCCTGTTTGCTCTTAGCTTCACATTCACTACCTGTGCAACTCTGTCCTACAGGAAAGCCCAGCACACATCGATGGGCTGAAACAGACATGGTACCCAAGTGGCCAGGCAACCCCAGGACATTGTACTTATCCCCCAGGGGGTCAGGAAAGAGAGTTAGGTATTCTTGAGTAAGGCCCCTGTGAAGTTTAGTGTATGCAGTGTCAGTGTTTGGAGTGATGTCATAGAAATACATTTGCTGTATTGGTTGTGTGCGTGTTTTGCATTCATTCATCTGACACTTATTTATTGGACACCTACTAGATGTCAAGTTCTAGGTACTGGAGAGCAGCAGTGTATCAGAGGCCATGTCCTCAAGGAGTTTACAGTCTAGCAGAGGAGTCAGACAGTAAAGTGATACAGAAATACACATGTGATATATCAGTCACTAGGGAGAAAATAAAGTAGGGGGAGGGAAAGAGGACATATTTACAGATCAATTTTTGTTGCATCCGTTAGAAAAACATAGTAAGGTTTTTTTTTTTCATTTTGGATTGAATTTATTCTGTGAGATTGGTACGAATTATGCATCTGTGTCTTACACCAAATAATATGTATGTTTGCTCTATTACTTTAACCTAGTTAAAGAAGCATGTTATATTTGCAACATTACATGTGCTGTTGGGTTCTCTATTAATTTATTTTGTACATTATAGATTCTGTGTTGATAAACTCTACTCAATTAGAAAATGTTTGTACTTAATCTCAAGTCTGTTTCAATTTATAATATTATTTAAATATGATCATTCCTTTAAACATTATTTGAGGCAATTTTGGAAAATTCTTTGATCCACATCACCCAAGTAAAGCCTCCAAAGTTCACTTTTGGTCATTCAAATGTTTCTCCCTGAAGTCTGTAGGAAGATGCAGTAGAAGCCTAGTGTCAATGCACCGAACAGGTTCTAGGAAAAAATGACCTGTGGTGGTGCAGACAGGAAGGTGTGGTGTGGACAGGATACCCTTCGCTGGGCACAGATATGGAAGTGGTACGGAACTCCCCTCAAGTCAAACCACCGCCTCTTCCTCTTCTTGCAGCTGAGTCTTCGGCTCATATCATCTCTCCACTTCAAGTGAAGGTCTATGTCTCTTGAATGCATCTCAGTCACAGGAATATCTCTGCAGTCTGGAACAGCCTCTCCAGGCTGGCAATCACCTGACAAGCCTGGCTCCTACCTGCTACTCTTTACTTGGAGGGCACTTTTTAAATGTTTCCTGCTAGCAGGTGCGTCATATTTATTGAGTTAGCCTCAGAGTCCTAGAAAGAAGGACACTGTCTTTGTGAGACTTGGATCTCTACAGGTGGATGGCAAGACCCTGGAGGGCCACATTCTTCGCATAGCTGTGATCCATGTTACAAGTGACAGAAACCCATACCTATTCCTTAAGCAATAAAAGAGATGTATTGATTTGTTTATCTTAAAATAATCCAGGGGCAGACGCTGTACGATTGGCTGGTTTCAGGGAGTCCAACTGTGTCATCCAGGACCTGTTTCTCAGTCCCACTTACTCTGAGGTTAACTCCCATGACTGCAAGGTGGTTTTCCCAGGTTACAGTTTTTTAGATTTGTGGCCAGAGGAGAAGAAAAGGCTTTCATTCTGCTTGGATTAGCTTAGATCAGTTGCTTGGACCTGAAAGCTCCATGATAAGCAGGGCATGGAACACTCTAGATCTAGAATTGCTTCTCTCTCTCTCTCTTTCTCTCTCCTCCCCCCCCCCCCATGTGTCCCAAGAGAGGTAAACAGTGTCTCTGTGAAGCACTGTGAAGGACTAAGGTTTTATCCTACTTCAGATGAACAAATTAGCCTGCCATGGTTTCACGGATACTGAGAGAAGACACGAGATTCTGGGATCAGAGACCATGTCAGTGATCCCCAAGCGTACCCCCACACCCAATGAGTCACTAGGAAGATTCACAGGACTCAGAATATAGTCATATTCACAGTTGTGACTTAGTAAAGTGAAAAAATGCCAAGTAAAATTAGCAAAGGGAAGAGACACCGGGGTGAAATCGAGGGGCAACCAGGCACAAGCTTCCAAGAGTTTTCTTCCAGTGAAGTCACACAGGACATGCTTCATTCCCTCAGCAATGAGTGTGACAACACATCAACCACGGAAGATCATGAAAGCCTCAGCATCCAAGTGTTTTTTTTCTTGTGAGAAAGCAGGACTTTATAAAGAAGACAGAAAAGCTCCCACAGCAAGAGGGAACTCCTGAAACAGGGGTGCCCGGCACCCAGGGTTTTTATGGGGGGTGATCATAGGTGGCCTCGGCCTGGCATGTGCCAACTTTCCAGACTCCCAGAAGAAAAGCAGGTGCTCAGCATAAATCACATTGTTTGTGCAAACAATTTAGGAACAACGAGCCATTCTTCTCAGTTCTGGTGATGGCAAGAACCCTTCCCAAATCCCCGTTCCCATATGCCAGCCAAAAGCTGACCTTGCAAGCAAACCCTTATAAGGACATGGGTCCAGTCTGCTGAGTTCACTCTCTTCTGGGCAGACACAAAGGACTCTTGCTCACAGCATTGCAAACCACTTATGCCTCATCCTTACATCATTCCCGTGTCCCCCAAGTCCCAGCAGACCACTGAGATGGGCTCAGGTAGATGCTGAGCACACATGGATTTGTGTCAAAGCCAAAGAACCTCAGCATGGGAATCCCCAATCTTTCATAACAGTCTCAGAGCTGAACTAAGCAAGCTTTGCCTCAGAGGGGAACATTATCTTTTATTACATTGCACAGCAAACAAACCTGCCCTTCTGCTCTGGAGGGAGACATTCCCTCTATCATCCAAGGCTGTTGGCTACGAACATCCTTGAGAAGATGGTCTAGAACAAAATGTCATGGGCGCTTCTGTTCCAAAGATGTGCAGGAAGGCAAGAGTTCCCTGAAAGGATCTCCTAGCTGAAGTCAGGATGGAAGTTGGAAGAAGGTAAATTGTTACAGGGAGGCAAACAATACATTGTTATGCCGTGGACAAAATTATCTTTTACACAACAATAACAGCACACATATTTATTAAATGATTACTATATGACTACTAAAGCACTGTCCTAGTGGGTTTTTTGTTTTGTTTTTAGTTAGAGTCTTACTCCGTCACCCAGGTTGGAGTGCCATGGCATACTCACAGCCACCCCAGCGTCGACTTGCTGGGCTCTGGCGATCCTTTGCTTCAGCCTTCCAAGTAGCCAGAACTACAGGCATGCGCTACCACGTCCAGCTAATTTTTGATTTATTGCAGAGACAAGGTCTCGCCAAGTTGCCCTGGCTAGTCTTGAACCTGTGGGCTCAGGCAATCCACTCACCTCGGCCTCCCAAAGTGTTGGGATTACAGGCTGAGCCACCGAGCCTGGCCTAGTGTTTTATATATCTGTAACTCAGTCCTTCATAAGTGAGTCTTTCACAGTGTTTCAATGCGTAACAAAAAGGCCCTTACAATTTTTTTTGCAATGAGTTCAAACTGAGGACCTTCATCAACAAAACACAAAACCACTGGATATAAAATAATGAAAAATGCTGCTCCTAGCTAAATGTGTTTCCTTCCCTTTTTTTCCCTCAAAGAGAGCAGTTCCAGAATGACTTTCCATGGATTAAATCATTAAGATGATTACTTCTGAAAAAATTAATAAAATGTAACACAACTTCTCAGCACCTTTTTGTTAAGTATTTTTGTCTAATGCCCAGAATTCTGTACTGTTTCCTCCCAAGGAGGGAAGAGGAAGTGGTGGGTGGTGTGGTGAGAGGGTGGTGGGGTTGTTAGCAACTTGACCTCAATTAAGTTAAATTTCATCAGGAGGTTGGAAGTGGTGAGGAGCCCACCTAAGAGATCTTCCAGTTTGACAAGCACTGGGGAGTCATGTTTCTGGTTTGGAGGCAACTATTTTTCTTTTTTTAATAAAACATCTTTTAAAAACATTTTATGCTTTCCCCAAGTGTGCATCCCAGGTCTTCAAAAGTTGCCTGTTTGTGTATGCATTCAAACGAGGTGAGCCAAAGCTATTTACTAATGCCCTTTTAATTTATTCAGTTAACATTTATTGAGCATCTCATATTTGCCTGGGATTCTGCTCGGTGCTGCAGAGAACAACACAAAGGTTCTGCAACATGGTGCCTTCATTCCAGTTAGAAAGAGAGAGAGAGAGAGAAAGGAATCCAGGGCTGGGAGGAGGGTGAGGTGGGAAAAGTTTCCTCCTGGAAAGCAAAATGTAAGGAGGAACCAAAACATTTAAGAGCCTGGGAAATAACAGTTTTTAAGAAATCAAACTTAGTTGAGTGTGGTGGCTCACACCTGTAATCCCAGTACATGGGGAAGCTGAGGCAAGAGGATTGCCCAAGTACAAGGGTTCGAGACCAGCCCGGGCAATTTGATGAGACTGTGTCCCTACAACAAATCAAAAAATTAGCCAGGCGTGGTGGTGTGTGTGCCTGTGGTTCCAGCTACTTGGAATGCTGAGGTGGAAGGATCACTTGAGCCCAGCAGGTCAAGGCTGTGGTGGCTGTGGGCATTCCACTGTAGTCCAGTTTAGGTGACAGTGAGACTTCAACTCAAAATAAATAAATAAACAAATAAAAATTAATTCAAAAATCCTCAGTGAACAAGATATCAACATTTAAATGTATAACATGATGCTGGGGCAGTAAGTGCAATGAAGAAAATCAAGCAAGGCAGGGGGTAGTGTAATGGGGGAGGGGTGCTCTTTTAGGTAGAGGGGTCAGGGAGATGGCTCCAACAAGCGGGCCCAGGAGCAGAGTGCTGAATCCCTCAAGAGAGCCAGCCGGGAAAATATCAAGAGAAAGAGCATTCCTGAAGAGGGATCAGCAAGTCATGTGCCCAGAATTAAGGAAGGAGGTGGCCAGGATGGCTAAACCTAGTAAGGGAAAGAACAGTAGCCAACATGAGGTGGGAGGGGTGGCCACAGGCCAATTTGTGCAAGGCCTTGCATATTCAAAGAATATTTTGAATATTTCCCTAAAGCTGCAAATTATTTTTTGTTTGTTTTTGAATCAGAGTCTCACTCTGTTGCCCAGGCTGGAGTGCAGTGACACATTCACAGCCACTGCAACCTCAACCTGCTGGGCTCAGGTGATCTTTCTGCCTCAGCCTTCCAAGTACCTGGAACTTAGGCACGTGCCACCACACCCAGTTAATTTTTTTATTTATTGTAGAGACGAGGTCTCACCAAGTTGCCCAGGCTATTCTTGAACCCCTGGACTCAGGCAATCCTTTCGCCTTGGTCTCCCAAAGTGCTGGGATTTCAGGCTTGAGCCACCACTCCTGGCCTAAAGCTGCAAATTACAAGTGATTTTTGTCTCAAATTATCTCAGTATTTGCTTTTCTACTTTATTTTAACTTTCTTTGGGACTCCTTCCTAAGTGTGAGCTTAAGTCATGGTTGTAAAATTTTTTTTTTCAAAGACTTTATTTTTGAGAGCAGTTTTTGGTTTGCAGCAAAATTGAAAGTACAGAGGTTTGCAAATATCCCTCCTACTACAATTAACAATCCCCATAAGAAGGTACATTTATTACAGTTGATGGATATACACTGACACATCATTATTGCACAAAGTCCAGAGTGTACATTAGGTTTCAGGAAGGAAGGCAGATGCCCAGATTGCCTTGATGTTCTCCAGTGCTTGAGCTCAGTGGTGCCCAGAGTATAAAACTCAGAGGAGAGTGCTTTTGGGGACCCTCAGCTGTGGTTCAATGTTGGGCAAGCATAGATGAGACTCCATCTGCCTTGGGCAGTTTCCTGAACCTCGGGAACCTGTTTGTCATGGATCCTAAGCTTCTGTTTACCCTTACTGTCCATGACTAATAAATCTTCTTTTCCTGACTTGTGTGAGTATACTGTTGCTGACTCCAAATCGAAAGGGATATTTACGCTAAAATTACTCATTTAGGTGACAAAGCACTATATAGATCATTTGAGCTGGACTCCACTGGATAGTTATTTCTTGTTTGGGATTGCTCATTACTCTGCAGGTAACCTGGTGGCTGTTTCTCTAGGGTGACCTCAGCTGGGATGATTTGCCTCTATTCCACACATTCTCTCATCATCTAGCAGGCTGGTCAGGGTCTATTTACACATTGTTGAAAGCATTCAAAGAACATTCAAAAAGAAAGAGTGAAATCCGATGACGTGCAAGTGCTTTCTAAGTCTTTGCTTTAATCACATTTGGTCTTATTGACCAAAGTAACGGCCAAGCAGATTCAAGTAATGAAAATATAAACTCATCTCTTTTTTTTTTTTTTTTTTTTGAGTTGGAGTCTCACTCTGTCGCCCAGACTGGAGTGCAGTGGCCGCTCCCAGCCACCACAGCCTCGACCTGCTGGGCTATGGCGATCCTTCCGCTTCAGTCTTCCGAGTAGCTGGAACTACAGGCGCACGCTACCACGCCCAGCTAATTTTTTGATTTATTGTAGAGATGAGGTCTCGCCAAGTTGCCCAGGCGGGTCTTGAACCCGCGGGCTCAGGCAATTCACTCACCTCAGCCTCCCAAGGCGTGGGATTACAGACTGAGCCACCAAGCCCGGCTTAAACTCATCTCTTAATAAATATGAGTGGCCAAGTCACATTACAATTTAAAGTATACAAATAAATGATTTAATATTTAAAATACTTTCACAATACACTCAAAAATAATAACAGCTGAACTTTATTGAGATTATCATCTTAGTGATTTGCATATATTTAGTCATATAATAGATGCAGTAACCTATGATAAGATATTGGTACAACTGATATCACCATGTAAAATTCTTAAAACAAAATCTTCATACATAGTGTCTTAGTCTGTTTTGTGTTGCTACAACAACATACCTAAGGTGAGTAATTATACAGAACAGATTTATTTCGCATTGTTCTGGAGGCTGGGAATTCCAAGGTTGAGGGGCCCACATCTGGCAAGGGCCTTCTTGCCCTGTCATCCTGTGACAGAAGACAGAAGAGCAAGAAGGGGTTCAGCAAACATCCCTCCTACTACAATCAACAATCCACATAAGAGGGTACATTTATTACAGTTGATGGATATACACTGACACATCATTATTGCACAAAGTCCATAGTGTACATTAGGTTTCATGAAGGAAGACAGATGCCCAGATTGCCTTGATGTTCTTCAAAGCTTGAGCTCAGTGGTGCTCAGAGTATAAAACTCAGAGGAGAGTGCTTATCACAAGCCCACTCTTGTGATAACTGACTCAGTCCCAAGAGAATTACATTAATCCATTCATGAGGGTTTCACATAATTATCTCTTATTAGGCTCCACTTTCCAAAACTGTCACATTGAAGATCACATTTCCAACACATGAACTTTGGGGGACACATTCAAACCACAGCATTTAGTTTAAATTTTTTTGTGTTTTTTTTTGCCAACTCAAAATGAGTCATACTAAACTGTATCTGGAAAAGCACATGAGCAGAGCTCTCAGGAAACCAAGTCCTCCACAGTTCAGAAGTCTGAAATATTTGCAAACTACTATAACAGCATTTAAAGTACTAGTTCTTAACCTGGGCTTCAAGAAGCTGTGACTGGAATACAAGCATGTATAAACTGTATGTGAAATTTCAAATGTGCTAATCAAAATTTTTCTGGGGAACAAGTCCAAAGTTTCCATCAAATTCTCAAGCTGGTCCAATGACTCTTCAAAGGTTAAAAAATACTGGTTTTACCAGAGGGTGATGATTTTCTTTTTCATGATTTCATTTCTCTGCTTCCCCTCAAATCCACAGCTTGACTGCAATAAAGCTGTCCCCAAGGATTCTCATAAGGGAATATCCTTTATTAGTTTGTTCAACAAAGGCCATGGAAGAAGCAGCAGACAATAAAGACATCTGCTTTCCTGCATGGCTGGGAGGATGAAATGGCTCAACTCCAGTGAAGCACCGAACACAGTCAGACATAACTGCTATTGATGATCTTAAACCTCCCAAAAGTTTTAGTTCTGTAGAGTCTGAGGCATGGAGTAGCCTCAAGACCAATATTTTAAAAGAGGAAGCAAAGGAGGAAAAGAAAAAAAATCTACAGCTGTCTGAGCCAGAACACCAGCATGACTGGCACCGCTCGGTCTCATCAGCAACTTTTGGGGAGAGGTTAAGCCAGAGGCGCCTCAGCTGAGAAAGTTTTTCAGCTTCTCCTGCCAGGATTTACCACCAGTGTGACCCTGAACCAAGGCCTCCTGCCCATCTCAGTCTTGGGTTTTTCATTTGTAAAATAAGAGGCATGGCCAGCCTGGGCAATAAGGCAGGAACTCGTCTCTACAAATAAACAAACAAAAGAAAAGAAGAAAAGGCATTATAACCACTACCCCCTAAAGTTGTTGTGAACACAAAATGAGAGAATGCCTACAAATATCCCCATGCATGGTCATGGTTTAATGAAAAGCAGCTATTTTGGGGTTTTCTTCCCCAAATGAGGGACAGATTTATTTCCCAGAAAAGAGAACTGGTTTGAGGGTTTGTCTAAAGATTTTTGTTGTTCTGTATTGACATTCTGTCCTTTAACCCTGGCACCTATTCCCAGGTCTCTCACCTGCTGTGTATCCTTGAATGAGTCATTTGATCTTTCCACGCTTCTGTTTTCTCACTGGTAAATGCAATTCTAATAGCATTGATTGGTTTTAGTATCTGTTAAAGTTAGGCTTTTTATCCCTTTCTGAATGAGTCCGCACTTTCTTTTGGCTTATCGAGAAAATGTACAAGTATATTGAGTGTGCCAAAGACTCTTCTAGGTACTGAGGATACACAGTGGATTAAAACAAAATCCCTACCCTCTTGTAGCTTACAGTTCTTGTGATTGGCATACAAATAAATCGTAAGACAATCAGAAGCCAGCAGATTAAAGGCATTTTCTTTTAATTCCCATTAATTGCAGTAACAGCTACCCCAAGCTTATCTATAGCCCTTGAAGTTTCACATTCACATATTTTCTTGGGAAATATTCTCACCTTGTCTCTACGTTGTTATCTTCAGCTTTTTCATGTTTCATGAGGTCAATATGGTAACATCCAGTCATAAAGCTCTGCCTTCTTGGCAGTGGAGAAACTTTCCCATAATATGTACAATTAAAGGAACAAATAGATGGTCAAGAGCCTAAGGGCAATCACAGATTTTAGTAGGGGATTTGTGTCCTCCCTATAGATATAATACAGCCTATCTCTTGGAAAGGGCATGGAGACTTCTGTATACCTTTTTATAAGAACAATTATATTGTCTGTTCATTATACTTGATTTTTTTTTTTTTTTTGAGTCAGAATCTCATTCTGTTGCCCAGGCTGAAGTGCAATGGCACCCTCACGGCCACCGCAGCCTTGACCTGCTGTGCTCAGGTGATCCTTCTACCTCAGCCTTCCAAGTAGCTGGAACTACAGGTATGTGCCACCAAGCCCAACTAATGTTTTGATTTATTGTAGAGGTCTCGTCAAGTTGTCCAGGCTGGTCTCGAACCCCTGGACTCAGGCAATCCTCTCACTTTGGCCTCCCAAAGTACTGGGATACAGGCATGAGCCACCATACTCAGTTTACACCTGATTCTTAATTAACAAGTATTTTTAGTCTGGGTTTCAGGAAGCTGTGAATGAAATACATACACATACAAACTGTATGCATAAATTCACATATATGCCATATTCAATATACATGGCAATGCCAGAAAGTTCCAGGCCTTAAGTGGAGGATCTTACTCCCCAAAATCTGCTATAACATCACAGGATTTGTCTGAGTGCTTAAGTCACAGATGGTGCTCAATTAAGATGCGTTTTTTTTTTTTTCTTGAGCTGGAGTCTCACCTGTCTCCCAGAATGGAGTGAAGTGGCAAGCTCACTGCCACCGCAACCTCAACCTGCTGAGCTCAGGCGATCCTTCCACCTCAGCCTTCCAGGTAGCTGGAACTTCAGGCATGTGCCACCACTTTCACTAATTTTCTTTTGATTTATTGTAGAGACGAAGTCTTGCCACGTTGCCCAGGCTGTCTCGACCCCGTGGGTTCGGGCAATCTTCTTGCCTCCACCTCCCAGAGTGCTGGGATTAGAGGCGTGAGGCACTGCGCCCGGCCACATTCTTCTTTTAAAGACGTAAATGTTAATTGGCCAGGGGCGGTGGCTCATGACACTAATCCCAGCACTTTGGGAGGCCAAGGCAGAAGGCCTGTTTGAGCCTAGGAGTTTGAGACCAATCTAGGCAATATAGCGAGACCTCGTCTCTACAAAAAATAAAATAATTAACTGACCGTTATGGCGTGCACCTGTAGTCCCAGCTACTCTAGAGGCTAAGGCGCGAGGATCGCCTGAGGCCAGTAGGTCGAGGCCGTGGTGAGCCACTATCGCCGTGGTGAGCCACTGTCATGCCACTGCACTCCATCCTGGGCGACAGAGTGAGACTCCGTCTCAAAAAATAAAATAAATTTCATTTCACTTAGACATGAAGACATAAATGCTAATTGAAATGACAGATCCGTTCACTTGCATCTTTAATTGCAGTAATAAGACGCGGCCCTTTTCCTCCAGGCACTCAACAGTCCAGGGATGTGCCAGGCCCATAGTCACGCCACACAGACTGGGGTGGGTCCTGGTCAAGGAGCGATGGATGCTCCTGGCCACCCCCATCCTCATCGCTCTCCTGGAGCATGGGCGAGCTATTCTGATTGTGTAGCGGAAAACCAGGGACTCACCGGAAAGGGGAAGGGTAACCGTGGCGGGCGAGCCCAGGAATCCTCCCGGCAGTCCTTCCCGCGAGATTCCCCGCCCGCGACCCAGCGCCCAAGCCGCGAGGCCACGCCCGCCTCCAAGAGACGCTAACCATGGCATCGTCCCGCCCCGCTCCCCCGCGCCGCGACCGGCGTGTTGCGTCATCTCGGCGCACCGGAAGTGACTACCGCTTTCGCCAGCGACTCCGGAAGTAGCTGCTTCAGGGCTGACTTAGCTGCTGGCTCTGACTCCTGGCTTGCCATGGGTTGCGACGGAGGAACAATCCCCAAGAGGCATGAACTGGTTAAGGGGCCGAAGAAGGTTGAGAAGGTCAGTGACGTGGGCGGACCCGGTGGGGACCGGGGGTGGTAGGAAGGCGACTCCCCCAGGGAGCGAGGGGGGCTGCAGGGCTCCGACGTAGCTGCGCTTTTGTATCCCATTCAGGGGGCTCAAAGCTAAGAAGAGTATTCATAACGGATGTTCATTGAGTACTCACCCCAACCCTAGGGGGACAGCTCCTGCGCTTGGGACCCTTTCGACCTCACCTTGTGTACGTCTTCACCTGCCTGCTTATTCATGTACTTTAAAAATATCTTTGTAATGAATCAGCAGTGGTAACTAAGCTGTTTTCCTGCGTTCTGTGTCTTACTCTAGGGGGTTGAATGACTTTTGATTTATAGATAGTCAGAAGCACAGGTGACACCCTGGACAAGTGATAGCGTCTACGGGGGTGGGGTGGGGACAGTCTTACAGAACTGAGCCCTTAACCTATGGGATCTGAGACTCCATCCAGGTAGGTGGTATCAGAATTGAGTTGAATAGTAGGACACCCAGCTGGTGTCGGAGAATTGATTGCAATGAAAAAGAACCCACACATTGTGACAGAAGTTCTCTAGAAGTGATTTTTTTTTGGATCGGAAAATATAGTTTATTTAGAAAGTAGAAGAGAGAGAGGCGATTCGCCTCCTCAAGGTAGGGGAGGGATCCATAGATAGGTAAACTTGGCTTAGCTCAAGGAGCACATGGCTAGGCCAGTGCTTAACAAAAGCTGGGCCAGAAGTATTCTAGAAGTATTGAGTGTTGTGAATGAGAGACACTCATTGGTCTTTCTTGTACAGATATGTAATAACTTAATATGTGTTGACCATTCATATAGTGGGTTTGGTGTGGCCTAAAACGTTGCTCTAGTTTCAAACCTCACCCTGAAAAGAAGAGAGACACTGAAAAAAAAATTTTTTTCTGAGGTTTTTTTTTTGGGGGGGGCGGGGTGCTGATTTTTAAATCCCTGGATAAGGAGTAGTTTATCATATTTTGCCCTGTTCCCAACCCTTCCAAGTGCTTTTTTAAAAAAATATAACCTAACCTCTTGGTTCCTCAGTTTCCTCATCAACAAAGGTGAAAATATGCATAGAGTTTTCATGAGGATTAAAAAATTAAGTCACAGAAACTGCTTAGCACAGTGCCTGGCACCCAGTAAACATTTGAGCAATTGTTGCTGCAAAAGTTAAATTTAGAGGGAATTCTTTTTCCCCCCATTTTCTTTCAGACTTGCCATCCTGTTGCATTATTCATGTTTGGCATTTCAAGAATGGGAAAGAGTGGGACAAAATATTGCACCTATGTGGGTGCTCTAGATTTTCATACTATGGATAAGTGCTTGATATGTCCTTTATTTTTTGTAAATTGGTGATTTTGTAAAGAATTATATAGTCTTTGTGCTAAACTTAAAAAAAAAATGACTGTCTTATCAGTTCTTAGTCTTTAATTTTTCTGCCATGACTTAGGGGCTCTTCTCATTGTTAGAAATTACCACTGCTTGCTTTTTCTTTATGGCTTTCCTAATTTACTGCTAAAATACAAATTGTTAATATTTGTATATAGCTTGCATGAATAGTTTGATGATTTGATGTGAACTCTTTCTTTGTACATGTCATTTTTAGATGAGCCTTTACTTGACCTAGTATTAATTACTTGTAACTTTTAAAATCCCAACTTTGCATGTCACTGTCTTTGATTTAAAAAACAAAAATCAGCCGGGCTCGGTGGCTCAGCCTGTAATCCCAGCACTTTGGGAGGCTGAGGTGAGTGGATTGCATGAGCCCGCAGGTTCGAGACCCGCCTGGGCAACTTGGTGAGACCTCATCTCTACAATAAATCAAAAAATTAGCCGGGCGTGGTAGCGCGCGCCTGTAGTTCCGGCTGCTTGGAAGGCTGAGGTGGAAGGATCGCCAGAGCCCAGCAGGTCGAGGCTGCAGTGGCCAGGAGAGGGTAACAGAGTGAGACTCCAACTCAAAAAAATAAAAATAAAAATAATTTAAAAAATAAAAAACAAAAATCATCCCAGTGTGGTGTTCCTGAACAAACTTTTATATGTAGAGCTGTGGATCATGTATCTTTCAGGAGTGAAAGTTGAAAGGAATTTTTATTTTCTTTTATTAGGTTGACAAAGATGCTGAATTAGTGGCCCAATGGAACTATTGTACGCTGAGTCAAGAAATATTAAGACGACCAATAGTTGCCTGTGAACTTGGCAGGTACGCTTTCTTTACTTAATGAAGATGAGTTTATTAAGTGATATTGAAGATCATTTTTCGCCGGGCTTGATGGCTCAGCCTGTAATCCCGCGCTTTGGGAGGCTGAGGTGAGTGGATTGCCTGAGCCCGCGGGTTCGAGACCCACTTGGGCAATTTGGCAAGACCTTGTCTCTACAATAAATCAAAAATTAGCTGGGAGGGGTAGCACGTGCCTATAGTTCCAGCTACTTGGAAGGCTGAGGCGAAAGGATCGCCGGAGCCCAGCAGGTCGAGGCTGCAGTGGCCGGGAGCTGCCATTGAACTCCAGTCTAGGCGACAGAGTGAGACTCCAACTCAAAAAAAAAAAAAGAAGATCATTTTTCTTTTCTTTTTAGAGACAGGGTCTCACTCTGTTCCCCAGGCTGGAGTGCAGTGTTGTGATCATAGCTCACTGCGGCCTCAAAATCCCAGACTCAAAAGATCCTCTGCCTCAGCCTCCTGAGTAGTCAGGACTACAGCCATGTACCACCATGCCGGGCTGATTCTTTTTATTTTTTGTAGAGACAGGTCTCACTCTGTTGCTCAAGCTGGTCTCAAACTACTGCCTCAAATGGTCCTCCTGCTTCAGCCTTCCAAAGTGCTGGGATTACAGGCATGAGCCACCACATCCAGCCCTTTGTAGAGAATTTTAATGCATAAATGCAGTTCTCCATTCTTCAAGTTTTAATTATCTCAAGCAAATTTGTGAAGCGTAGGTTATCATTCCCTGTCTCTGAACATAACTCTGCACTCTCCTAGTCAGTTTGGTTTATTTAATTCATGCTCTGAAAACTCAGGGCCCATTGGGAGCTAAGTTATAAATGTAAATGCAGGAAGGAGTCTTGTGAGATTCCGTAGGGAATGACAGAAACTGGGAAAACTGGCGAGTTCCTGTCCTGTCTAAAGGGGGAGCTGCCATTCAGGTTCGGCAAGTTCTTGTAGTCCAAGAATATGGGCCTAGTGATTCCAAATCTTCTGGTTTTAATTTTTTTTTAAAGTTGGAAATATATACTTTTACATTAAATTTTCCAATTTTAAAAATCCTTGTTCAGGTCACATTCAGCCTTCAGACTACCAGTTTGCCACCCTTGATTTAAACTTGTCTCTTTCTTTGTATACTCTGGAAATAGTTAAAACAGCGTTAATTTACTTTCTGGTAATGCAGGGCTTTGCTCTGTCAAATGTAAATGACTTTTGGATAATGTTGAATGTATTCTCCCTCCTTTGGTTTCTTGAAAACTGATTGTTGACATCATATTTTGCCTAATCCTTATTGTTGCAGACTTTATAATAAAGATGCTGTCATTGAGTTTCTGTTGGACAAATCTGCTGAAAAGGCTCTTGGGAAGGCAGCATCTCACATTAAAAGCATTAAGGTAAGATGTGTGCTGCTGAAGTACTTAAAGGGTCTCAGTGGTCGAGGTTTATTTTATAGAAATCATGTACATTTAAAGACTTATCTCAGAAATGTGAGGTTCCAGTTCCACTGAGCCACCATCAGGTGTGATCTTGGGAGGTCACTCAGATCTCAAGCCATTTGTTCCCACATATGTGCTTCCTACACTATAAATCTGTTGTGACTTCACGGACATGAATGTGCTTTGAAAATTTCCGATGTCCTATATAAGTGTTGGGAGGCATTATTTTTGTAATTCATACTCTGCTATTTGAGTTGTGGATTTGTAAGACACTTTCATAGAGTCACAATGTTATATAGGTCGATCACTGTTAAATTTTTTGGCTACCTCTTGCTGATTGGAAGTTAAAGTTTTTTCATAAACGTGGAAAACAGATTTTTTTTTAAATAAATAAAGTTTCTTGATAGAATAGAATCTTTCAAATCTGGTCAGTGGAAAAAACTCAGATAGTGAAGTGTTGGAAAGTGTCAGGCCAGTCAAATGACCCTGACCTCATTATAAAGGCCTCACTTGGGGCCGCATGGCCAATGAAGTGCTTAAAACAGAGCCAGAGCCCGTGACTCCCAGCTGAAAGCTTTAGGCTTTTTCCTTTTTTTCTCTTTATTTTGTATTATTATATTAGGCTTTTTGATTATTGGGTGATTACAGAATATTTCCATTTGAGGCAAATTCATAATTCTGAAATGTAGCTAATGATAGTGTTACAGAAATTATGATTCAGATTTTTTTTTTTTGAGTTGGAGTCTCACTCTGTCTCCCAGACTGGAGTGCAGTGGCTGCTCCTGGCCACCGCAGCCTCGACCTGCTGGGCTCCGGTGATCCTCCTGCCTCAGCCTTCCAAGCAGCCAGAACTACAGGCGCGCGCTATCACACCCGGCTGATTTTTTTATTTATTGTAGAGATGAGGTCTCGCCAAATTGCCCAGGCGGGTCTCGAACCCACGGGCTCAGGCAATTCACTCACCTCAGCCTCCCAAGGCATGGGCTTACAGGCTGAGCCACCAAGCCCGGCTATCATTCAGATTTTAGTTGTCTTTCTCTTGGGAAGAGAATTCATTTCTGAAAAACCTGTGTTGACATGAATTATCTTACTGCAAAAATGCAATTATTGAAATTAACTATACAGTTCTATACACATAAGAGTCAGTTTTATGTGGTTGTCTCTTAATGCAAAAAAACCCCGAGAAACAGAAAACTCCAAGAAGTTGGAAAAATAAAGCTGTTTTATTTATCCAAATAAAACAGTGCAAATATATAAGATTATTATTCCTGTCAGTTAACAGTCCACAAATACTCTGAGCAGAGAACTCAATGAGACATGTGCCAAGAAACAGACTGAATGAATGGTGGCTTTCCTTTTGAGACACTCAGCTGCTCTCCAGAGTGTTAAAATCAAAATGGTTTCATTAAATATGAAGAAATGCCTCAAATGCAAAAGTAGAGATGTTAAATCAAATTCCTTGTAAAGTCGAGTTTTTGAAAGCCTGAACGGCTGTGCCTTGGAGTATGAGAATGTTTTCTGGTAATATTCTGCCTTAACTCATTAGGCTGTGGCCTCACATTTTTACTGTCTATTCAATTATTATACAAACACAGATGGCCAGTAACATGTAACGGCCTAAGTGAGGATTCATCAGTAGGGAGAGAAAGCATTCCTCTCTGGGTGGAACAAATGCAAAGCTTTCTCTTAATGGAGTGACTTTTGATTTGAGAAGGTACTTTTCCATAATTAAAAAAATTATAAAATAGAAATTACTGAGCTAATTTACTTGCTAGCCAGTGAATTGAAAAAATTTTATCTTCCATATTATTTACAATTCAATATTAGATCCATGCTTCTTCTTTTGTTCGTTTTGTTTTGTTTTGTTTTGAGTTGGAGTCTCACTTTGTAGCCCAGGCTAGAGTGCAGTGGCATGCTCACAGCCACCACAGCCTCGACCTGCTAGGTTTAGGCGATCCTTCCACTTCAACCTTCCAAGTAGTTGGAACTACAGGCATGCGCCACCATGCCTGGCTCATTTTTTGATTTATGTAGAGACAAGGTCTCGCCATGTTGCCCAGACTGGTCTCGAACCCCTGGGCTCAGGTAATTCTCTCACCTCCACCTCCCAAAGTGCTAGGATTAAAGGCATGAGCTACCACGCCTGGCAGATCCATGTTTCTTTATGGCCAAAGGAAAGTCACTGGAAGAGGAGGTTTGGATGGGAAGGGACTAGAGTGACCGTTGATGTAGATAGTTATAAGGCAAAGGATGGTCTATTTATCAAGTAATTTCTTAAAATATTAATGATTTTTCCCAGAATGTGACAGAATTGAAGCTTTCTGATAATCCTGCCTGGGAAGGGGATAAAGGAAACACAAAAGGTGACAAGCACGATGACCTCCAGCGGGCACGTTTCATCTGTCCTGTTGTGGGCTTGGAGATGAATGGCCGTCACAGGTCAGTAATGGACATGGGGGACAAGTGATGTGGGAAACTGGTGAAGTAATACCGGTCTGTTCAGATTTGTGCCATAGCTTAGCAGTCACATGGATTTCTCCTTAGGACCTTTGGGAGTGGTAATGCCTTGGGGGAAATGGTGCCCAGTCTTGAGCATGTTCATTTCCCATCAGCTGTTTGCATGATGACTTCTAACAAGACTCAGTCTTATTGTCTGTGGCTTTCTGTTCGTGAGGTAGGAAAGCCTAGGTAGGATTTTAAGAAGTTCTGTGTGACCCTTAGAGAACCTGAGTTTGGTTATTTGATCATCTTTTCCTATGTGACAGAAAGCAAAGTATGATGTTTCCCTTCAGTCAAATCCCAGTTCTTTATAATTTCTAAAATTTATGTAGCAAGCAGTCTTACAGAGTGTGTGGTCAGCTGAAGACCCAACTGATAATGATAACTTGCTTTGAATTTGTAGCTAACAAATCCTCTGACTAAAGCAGCAGGAATTTGTGGTTGAGATTTGTGTGGCAAACCTAAGTGACCTGTGTATTTCCCTCTTTAAAAAATATGAAGAGTTGGATGGATTAATGCATATCTTTTTATAGGATGTCTCACTAAGCAAAAGCGTTAAGCCCTTTCCCCCACCATTTACAAATGCATGCATATCTTGGAGACTATCTCAGAGCTTTGGCTTCAGACCGCCACAGTAAAACAAATATCACAATAAAGTGAGTCATATGAATTTATGATTTCTGTGTGCTTATAAAAGCTATCTTTATACTATATGTAGTCTCTGAAATGTGCTCTAGCATTATGTCTAAAAAATTAGTGTGTATGCCTTAATTAAAAATTACTTTTTTGCTAAAAAAAAAAAATGCTATCATCGGAGCTTTCGGTGAGTTGTAATCTTTTTGCTGGTGGAGAGTCTTGCCTTGGTGTTGCTGGCTGCTGACTGATCTGGATGATTGTTGCTGAAGGTTTGGATGGCTATGGCAGTTTCATAAAGTAAGATGCGGTGAAGTTTACCACATCGATTGACTCTTCCTCTCATGAAACATTTCTCTGTAGCATGAGATGCTATTTGATAGCATTTTACCCACAGTAGAACCTCTTTCAAAATTAGAGTCAGTTCTCTCAAGCCATGCTGCTGCTTTATCAATTAAGTTTATATAATATTCTAAATCCATCATTCAACAGTGTTCACAGTATCTTCACCAGGAGATTCCATCTCAAGAAAACACTTTCTTTGCTCATCCATAAGAAGCAAGTCCTCATCTACTCAAGTTTAGCAGCATCTTCAGGCACTCCTTCTAATTCTAGTTCTCTTGCTATCTCACTACATCTGCAGTGACTTCCTCCAGTGAAGTCTTAAACCCCTCAAAGTCACCCACAAGGATTAAAATCAACTTTTTTCAAATTTCTGTTAATGTTGATATTTTTACCTCCTCCCGTGAATCACGAATGTTCTTAGTGTCTTGTAGAATGGTGAATCCTTCCCAGAAGGTTTTTGATTTACTTTGCCTAGATCTATTAGAGGAATCTTTGGGAGCTGTAGCCTTAAAAAATGTATTTCTTAAATAGTTATACTTGAAAGTTAAATTTACTTCTTGATCTATGGGATGCAGAATGGATGTTATGTTAGGTGTGAAAATAACATTAATCTCCTTGTGCATCTCCATTGGAGCTCTTAAGTGGCTAGGTACATTGTCAGTGAGCAGTAATATTTTGAAATATTCAGTAAATCATACTGTAAACAGATGTGCTGTCATCTAGGCTTTGTTGTTCCATTCATGGAGGACAGGCAGGATCGAGTTAGTATAATTCTTAAGGACCCTAGGATTTTCAGAATAGTAAATAAGCATTGACTCCAACTAAAAGTTATCAGCTACATTGGCATCTGACAAGAAACTCGGCTTGTCCTTTGGAGCTTAAAGCCAAGTGTCGACTTCTCTCTAGCTCTGAACATTTTTAGGGACAACAGATGGCTTCTTCATCGACATTGCAAATCTGTTGTTTAGTGTAACCACCTTCATCAGTGATTGTAGCTAGAGTTTCTGGGTAACTGGCTGCAGGTTTTACATCAGCATGTGCTGCAGCGCCTTGTACTTTTGAGTTACAAAGATGGCTTCTTTCCTTAAACCCCATGAGCCAATCTGCCAGCTTCCAACTTCTCTTCTGTGACCTCACCTCTCTCAGCCTTCATAGAATTCAAGAGACTTATGGCCTTGCTCTGGATTTGATTTTGGCTGAAAGGAGTGTTGTGGTTGCTTTGATCTTCTATCCAGACCACTGAAACTTTCTCCATATCAGCAGTAAGGGTATTTCTCATGTGTTTACTGGAATAGCATCTTAACTTCCTTCAGGAACTTTTCTTTTGTGTTCACAGCTTGGCTAACTGTCTGGCATGAAAGACCTAGCTTTTGGCCTATCTTGGCTTTTTTTTTTTTTTTTGAGTTGGAGTCTTACTCTGTCACCCAGACTAGAGT